GCTGAGCATGCGTCAGACACAGAGACCAGCAACCCATGCAGAGCACGGTTGCAAAATACGTCATGAGTAGTGAGTATTGCTTGTGGGAGCAGACATCGTTCGTAAGGCCGAGCATTGCAGCTCCAATCTTCAGAGTAGCGGCCGGGCCATGTGTTGCGGAACGATTAGGCACTGGGCCCTGCACCACAACTTTGCTTGGCTGCTTGAATGAGCTTAATGCCCCAAAAGCCTTGAATTGTTGCTAGCGCAGCTCCAAACATGACCCACACTACACGTGCATGGTAGCGGCAGCAGTAGCGCCTGGACATGAACTTCCGCAATAGCAAACTGCACGACATTTCAATGCGACACGGCAAACAGGAATGCCACACCAGATCGCCGCAAAACAAAAGCTTGCAGGAACGCCAACCCAGGAATGGCAAATCCGACAAACACAAACGAGAGGCCCCCAGGAACGCCAAACCGGCATGGCAAAACCTACCCTTCGGAATGGCAAAATAATTATTTAGCAAAATCCATACCTGCATGACAAATCATCTTATAAGATTAGACATGGCTGCCGACGACACCCCGACCTCGTTTTCCTTTGTGGATTTGGAGGCTCTTGAGCCGGCTGATCCGGTTCCTATAGTGGTCAAACGCTTTCGCAAGACACTTCCTGTGGCTGCTTCTTCTCAGGAGTCGGGGCTGGCCAGTGCCCCTGCTTCTTCTGCTCAGGAATCGCCGGCTTCTTTGCGGTCGTGGTCTTTGGTGGCCCCGGCCTCGAACGATGTTGCTCGCGAGCTTTCTTTTGCAGACCTGCAGCCTGATGCTTTTCCTCCGGCTCCTTTGCCGGGGCCCTTGGACGTGGTTGCAGGTCTTCCTTTGAGCGCCCGGTGCTTCGTGATGTTTCTGGTGCTCTGCCTCGTCCTTTGCTCTCTGCCCCGAAGGAGCCTTCTTCGACATCATCGTCTTCGCCTTTGCCCCGGCCTTCCTTTGCCCCAGCTTCTAAATATGACAAAGGTCCTGCTCATCGCTTAGAAGTTGCTTTGCCTTCTGCTGCTTCGGTCCCCTCGGGGTCCCTCGTTGCTGGGTGTGGGGCTGTGCCTGTCCTTCCGACCAAACAGGCAGCATCGTATGCGATCCGGTCCTTTGCGGTGACCGGTGGCAGGAGCACCTTTGCCGCCGCAGCCTCGGCTGCAGCTTCGCCCGAGCCTTCATTTCGCACCTCTTCGGGTACCCTGGAAAAGGAATGGTTGCAGGTCCGCGGTCTTTGGAGTCGGGTTGTGCCCTGGCTGCTTCCTTTGAGCTCCTTCTTGCAGGAACTCCTCGCCAAGGCGAATTGCAACGAGCTTCTTGAGCTGGTTTGGCGCCGGAACTCAGCTACCACTGTGAAGCGCTACCTGCAGTCGCTTTTTCGAGTTTTCTCGATGCTGGAGGATTTGGAGGTTCCTTTTCCCTCTTTTTCACAGCTTCAGCTGCACGACGCTGTTCTTGCTTTGCACCGCACCTTTGACGGTAGCCTCACCTTCGGCGATAACGTGCTCAAGGCTTTGCGCTGGTCTCAGAAGGCCTTTCAGCTCGACTTGCCTAGCTTACACAGTGGTATCTTTGCTGCTACAGCTTTATTTCAGCGAACTGGTGAGAAACGCGAGGCGCCGCCGATTCCGCTTGCATTCGCTGTGTGGTTGGAGTTTTCCTTTCTTAAGGGCATCGAGGATATGTCAGAGCGCATGTTCGTGGGGGCCGTTTTGCTTTGCCTATGGGCGAGCTTGCGATTTGGTGATGCCCAACATGTTCGCTGGTCCTCTTTGCTTTTCGATTTGGCGAGTCTTCGAGGGTGGTGCTATAAGACCAAGACGCGCCCCAGAGGAACACCCTTTGCCATCACTTCGGGTGGCTTTTGTGGCTGCCGCGCAGGCAACGACTGGCTTGCTTTGTATTGCCTTTCCTTGAACCAGGTCTTGGCTCAGTGCCATTTATGCTTCGCTGCCGATTGTGACCCCGATGCTCTTTTCTTTTCTTTTGATGCGGCGGCACCTTCATTCGTGCCTCTGTCCTATGGGCAGGCTTTGCTCCGGCTTCGTTCTTTAGCTGCCCGGTGGTCTCAGGAGCTTGGTCTGGTGTCGGAGCAGTGGATTGCGGGGCTTAGCCTCCACAGCCTCAAGGCCACTTTCCTTTCGTATGGAGCTCAGACCAACCAGAGCGAGCAGGATCGAGCGGTCCAGGGTCATCACAAGCTTGGCTCTGTAGCTTTGTACGGCAGAGATGATTGTCTACCTGCCTTGCGTTTGCAACGGGCCGTGGTCTCGTGCTTTTCTGGTGGCTGGCGCGCTCAGACTCCCTTGCAGCGAGGTCTTCTTACTTTGCAGGAGCCTCCTGTGGTGCTTCCCCCTAGGGACTTTGCTTTATACCTGGATTTATCCGAGGTGCATTGGCTTCTACGCTTTGACTCTGGACCGCGTTTGGCTGAGGACTCTGAGGCCTCTGCTTTGCCGACCAAGGTCGCTTTGCCTGAGACGTCCGCCTCTTCGTCGGACCAGCCCTCTGCTGCCAAAGCTTTGCCGGTTGCTTTATCTGCCCCTGATCCTGGTGAGGTTTCCGAGGCAGAGTCTGAGGACCTTGGCCAGCCCGATGAGATCAGTTTGATTTCTTCTTTGCAGGGCAAGGTTCTGCACCTGAACGTGGCTGGCCCGGGGTGTCCGCCTCACCCTGCTTGTGGGTGCTTTGCCAAAGGCTGGAAGCACGTTCTCGAGCCTGGCCCGGCTTTTCAGTTTTGCCGACACCCTGCTTGCAACAAGGCCGTCTGGTACGACTGAGCTCGCTTGCTTCGGCCTCTGCCTTACTTTGCGGGGGGACCGCCTGTCTCCTTAGCATTTCTTCTTGCTTCGCGCGGGGCCTCGGGGCGCATCTCCCTGGCCGGGCTCGCTTAGCCGATTTTCGCTTCTTTTCCCCCGAGGGGGTCACGCATTTTTCGCTTGATGTGAAAAATTCGCCGTCTGGCGTGCACTTTTGCTTTGCCTTCGCGGCTCATGCTTTTGAGAGTTTTGGGCTGCATGTCTGCATGTTCCAGGTCGGTGGCTTGGTCACTTTGCTATTCCGCTGCTTTTGGCTTATTTGGTAGCCCGTCTTCTTCGCCTATGCCGCGGTACTTTGGATCTCATCTGCATTTGCTGTCGCTTTACTTTGCGCAAAAGATGCACTCCGAGCAGTTCAAGGCCATCATCAGCAACCTTCCTTTGCACCAGCTTTGCAAATATTTGTGCGAGAAGGCGCAGGAGGATGGTTCAGAGGTTTATGGGACTTTGTTGTGGGTGCCGGAGGAGGGCAGACTTGCTTTGCTTGACTGCCTGACTGCAAGCCTCGAAAGCCCTCCTTTGACTCCTCGTTCGGCTGCTGGTGCTGATACTGCGGCGGATGCTGCTGGGGGCTCTACTTTGCCGGCGAAGGAGGGTGGCTCCTCTACTTTGCCTTCTGCGGACCCTGCTCCTTCTGTGGATCCTGGTACTTTGCCGCACTTTGGCAAGGATGCTGCATCGTCCTCGGACGATCCTCCTTTGCCTCCTCCGAAAGTCGACCCTGCAGCTGCTGCCCAGGATGCCACCGACCCTACGTTGCAGGATCCTTTGCAGGACCCTTTGCAAGATCCTTTGCTGTCGGAGGGGGGCAACCCCTACCCTGCCCACTTGCACCGTTACCACAACCACATGGGCTTTTCCTATGACGACTGGTATGACTATTGGCAGCGCGGGATTCGATGAAGGTGCCTCCGGGAGGTACTCCTTTGCAGCCTTCCAGTGCCTCGCCGGCTTCGTCGTCTACTTTGCCACAGGCCAGCCCTGGCGCTGCCGATGCGGCCCCTGCTTCTACTTTGGATCCTCCTTTGGGCCAATCTGCGGGGGATGGTGATGGCGCACATGGTGGGGCCCCTGCTTCGTCTCCTTTGCAGTCTGACACCGCGGGGGACAAGCCCGGGGTTTCCTTTGATTCTTGCTTTGATGACATGCCCGCGGGTGTCTACGAGAAGCTTGGGCCCTACCATGTGCGCCGGATCATGCGGGTGGAATGCCAAGAAGAGTGCGAGGAGTGTGCCAGTGGGCATTGCGGTGCCATTCTTGATGTGGCTCGCCCTGAGAAATGCTTCCATAAGCACCGCTGTAAGCAGTGCTATCGCGTTTTTCGAGCGAAGCAACTGCAGTGAGGGGGTGGCGAGTTTTCCTTTGCAGTGCTTTTCTTAGCTTTTCTTTGGAAAGTTGATACTTTGCCTTTGCTTTTGGTGGGAATCTCGCCCCCCCTCGCTCTCCTTTGGCTTTGCTTTGGAGAGCAATGCCCACTGGCACGTGCTTTGCATAGCCTTTGCAGCAGCAGGTGAGGAGCTTTGTTGCATTGCTTTATTTCTGCAGCGCCTTTTGCAGCAAACAGCTTTGCTTTTCTAGCCCTTGGGGCCTCGCTTGCCTCAGCAATCGCTGTGCCAATCTTCCTTTTGCTTTAGCCGCCCTTTCTGCACAAGCCGTCGGTGGCTTCGCGATCGCACTGCTTCTGCCGGTGCAAAAGTGCGGGTCCCGCGTGTGGCTGCACATCAGCTTTGCCTCGCTTAGGCAGCATGGAGTGAATTCTCCCACAAACCTGCTTGCATCGCTTTGCTCGCGCCTTTGGCCCACAGCTCGCTCAGCTCACGTGTGGCATTCTTGCTTTGGGGGGCAATCCCTTGCATACACAGCTTTCCGCTTCGACCCCTTTGGTGGGACTTAGCCCGGGTGGCTCGCTTCGCTTTGCCATGACCGATTCGGAGGCCGCTTGCCGTTCCGAGTGTCATGCTTGCTTGCTTTGCTTTCCTTGGCTGCTTCTTTTCGCCTGTCAGGACAACGAGCTCATCGCCTTGGCTGCCTCCTTCAAGGTCCCGGACTTACTGTTGCAAGCTTTGAAGGACGAAGGTTGGGACGTGCCTTCCTTTGCTATGTCGGCCACTTCGGTGGCTGAAGTTGATGGTGCTCTTTCTGAGCTCGTCCCGGACTCTAGCTTCACGTTGCAGGAGAGGGCGAATTCTCGTTTGCTTTGGCAGCGGTGTCATGCGATGACGTGTGGGGCTGCCTTTGCTTTGCCGGAGCCTCCGGCTGATCCCGCTTCACTCTCAGCTCGGGAGTCGTCATCGTCTTGGGCGAGCCCGTTTCCTCCCAAGGTTGCGGCGGATACTTTGCAATCCCTCAAGAAAGAGTTCCTGAAATCTTATACTTCCGAAGTCTTGGACCCGGATACCTTGCCCTCGCCCCGCCTGTTGGCTCTGGTAAAGGCCAACGTCGACGCTCTTCCTTTGCGGTCAGGCTGGCGCTGGGTGGCCTGGAAGTTTCGGCTTTCGCAGAGGGCCCATGACGAAAAGGACAGTATTGCTTTGAACTCCAGGCCGCGGAAGATTGCTAAGCTTGACCTTTCCGATCTTTTGCTTGACGATATACCTCTTCGAGAGATACCGTCATCGGGCCAGCTGGGGAATTACCAGTTGTCGCAGATTCTTTCTTTGCACTCTGTGGCAGTCGCCCTTTGCAAAGGCTGTCACCTCAGCACCCTTCGGGCTTATGAACGTGCTTTCTTGGAGCTCGCAACCAAGCGGTACCCTGCTGAGTTGAATTTGCGCAGCCCTGCGGCACAGGAGCTCGAACATGCTGATCGCATGCTTTGGGAACAGATTTCTGCTCTCCTTTGCGAAGATTGGAAGCTGGATGACGCCTTGCACCAAGTCACTGCGGTGAGGTCATCTTTGCACGTTCTCCTGTGCCCCCGCCCCGCTTTGCCCAAGCACAACCCCAACAACAAAGGTCAGCAGTGGGGTCGTGACCCCCCCAAGGGTTTGGGCAGGGGTCGGGGTGGCAGAGGCAGAAACGGCAAGGGCAGGGGTGACAGAGGCGACAAAGGAACCGACTCGGGTGGTAAGCGCCACAAGTGGGCCACTACTTTCAACGGTAAGACACTCTGTCTTCGGTTCAATTCTCGTTCTGGCTGCTCTGACAAGAACTGCAAGCATCTGTATCAATGCTGCGTGGTGGACGAGAACAATAATAAGGTTTGCGGTGGCAAGCACCCGGCTTTCGAGCATCCGGGCACTTCTTGAAACACCCCTGCTCAGGGTCAGGGTGAGGCCTTGACTGGGTCGGCGGCTTTGTCACCCGCTAGCGTTGCTTTGTCGGAGAGCAGTTCTTCGAACGCGTTGGAGGTCGATTCTCCTACTTTGCCTTCTTCGCGAATTTCTCCTTTGCCTGCCGCCATCGGGCTCCCACCTCCCAATTCGCAACCTGAGGTGGCAGCTTCTTGCGACGGAGTGGCTACCTTTCTTGGTGGTGGTCACATTTTGCTTCTCATGCATTCGGCCTCCGGTCTTTGGACCCAGCGGGCTACGAGATCTCTTCTTTTGGAGGCGCGGGCAGCTTTGACAGTTTTGCCTTTGTGCAGCTTCGGGTCACCATGTCATGACGAACTTTTGCTTGCTTCGTCGCTGGAATGCTTTGGGAGCTTGGCTGGTACCTGCCGGCATACCAGCTCGGCTTCTACCCCAGCATGCTCGATTCCACCTGCTCTGTGCCAAGGTATAGTTTCGCTGCTTGGCAGGTCGAACTCACTTTTGGGTTCTCCAGCTTTGCTATCTCTGGATGCTTTGGTGGCGTTGCGTCCGGTCAAGCAGGCTCGCGATCTCCCCATCGCGTCGCAGGATGGAGGAGGTATTCATTCTAAGCCCGACTGGTCTGTGCCGCCTTCTTCGGCTTCGGGGATATTTTCGCAACTTCGAAAGGATTTCCTTACTTTCATTTTGCAACACGGTCTCCACAGGCGCCTTCGAGACCATGTGGCTGCGGCTTCGGAATCTCCTTTCCTTTCCGATAAGGAGGTCCTCGCTTTTCGGGGGATCGCCAATCGGTGGTTCTCTGCCCAGGGTGGCCGTGACGATGTCAATTGGGACAAGCCCTCGGGCCAGCCTTACTGTCTCCATGCTTTGCACTCTTTGAGTCAGGTGGTGAAGGACGCCGACAAACATTTGTTCTTGGCTTTGCTCGAAGGGGTTCCCACAGGCTATGATGGCGATATTCCCAAATCTCATGTTTTTACTGAGCATGACAGTCCCCCTTCGGATGGTGACTTGTTGCTTTGCTTTGGGAACTGGACGGGGGCCGAGGCCGACCCCGTTCTGCTTTGCGAGCTTTTGCAGAAAGAGGTGGATGCCGAATGGTTGGAGACCATTCCTTTGCACGAGGCCCAGGCTCGCTGGGGCTCTCGCCTGGCTGTGGGGCGCCTGAACATCGTTATCGCCCCCGGCAAGAAACCTCGCCTTGTAGTAGACAGCTCGGTGTGCGGTACTAACAGTTGCTGCCAGGTTCCCGAATCATATGCTTTGCCAGGCTTGCAGCATGTCCGCTTCAGCTTTCCTTTCAGGATGCATAATGGTGCTTTGGCGGGTTTTTCCTTGGACATCGAGGCTGCGCACAAAACTGTTCGTGTTCGCGAACGTGACAGAGGACTTCTAGGGGTGCAGCATCAGCTTCCAGATGGTACTTTGCGTTATTTATTTTATCGCGTTTGTCCTTTTGGGGCCGTTTTCAGTGCGCATTGGTTCCAGCGAGTCAGTGCTTTTCTGATTCGTATGCTTCACCCCTTCCTTTGTGTGCGCCACTCTCTTTTCATGTATAGTGATGATTTGCTGGGCATCACGGAACAGTCGGTGTTGGAGATCACCTTTGCTCTGGTCCTCGCATTTTGCGTTTGCTTTGGATACCCCATTTCTTGGAAGAAGCTTCAAATGAGCCCACGTATCCTCTGGATCGGTTGGTGCTTTGACTTCGGCGCTGGGGGGGTCGAAGTTCCTGTCGATAAAACTTCGAAGCTGCTTGTTGGTCTGCGTGACATCTTGAAGCAGGACAGGGTTGACAAACGTGAGCTTCATCGTGTTATTGGTCTTATTCAGTGGATCCTGCAGCTGTTTCCTTTGCTTAAGCCGTGGATGAACACGCTTTATTGCGATTTGCATTCTCCTTTGGGCACAAATTACAGCATGGATCCTGGTGATTTCCCTTCCGTTGCCACGTTCCTGGATGACGCTTTGACTTTTACTTCCCGCCCCCCGGGGACGGCCATTCCTTTGGGGTCCAAACTTCTTTCGGTCCGACACGTGGACATTAAACGCAAGAGTGATTTGGCTCAGGTGCCCTTGACGTCCAAGCGACTTTGGCTCCGCGTTGCTGACCCAGCCAGTAGTCGGCGGCGTCTTTCGCCGGCCTCCAAGCAATTCTTGCTTTACTGGAAGCATTGGGCTGAGGATCCTCCTCTTCTTCGACCTTTGCAAGTTCCTTTGGCGTCACCCGTGGAGGCGGCGGCTGACGCCATGGCCTCATCCAACAGGTTTGCTATCGGCGGCTATGTCAAGATGCCCAGTGGCAACTTGCTTTGGTTTTCGCAGTCTTGGGTCATGGCCGATTTGCACTTCACCAATTTGGATCTCAGCGACGATGCTCAGTCGTACATCGCTTCCTTTGAAACCTTGGCCCAGATTGCCTTGCTGCATTGCGCCTCGGCCATGATCCCTTTTGGTCGCCTTCGCATTCGAATCAAAAAGTGGTGCGATAATGCAGGTGCAGAAAGTGTGTCTAACAAACTTTACACTCGCAAGTATCTGCTTTGCATTTTCGCACAACGACTTGCGCTTTTCAGCACGTATTCGTCGATGTCTCTGGACGTTTCGCATATTCCTGGCGGGTACAACAAGGACGCAGACATGCTCTCACGCATTGAAGATTTTGCCGATTTGCCTGACAGGTTTCCTTTGAGCGCGCGACTGGTTTTGGACTTAGAGCAGCTTTGGTTTCGCAGGTCTGCGGTTTCTCTGACGCCGCCTGACTTTCCACTTCGCTGGAAGATACCTGTGAACGAGTTCTTTCGATGAATCTTTACGGCCTCTCCCATTTTTTCGGAGACATGCCAATGCTTACGGCCTCTCATTTCTTGAGACATGCCAGCTTGTGGTCCTTTAGTGGCCCTTTTCGCTGAGCCGTGAATGGCCTGATGCTTGAGGCGTGCGCAAACCTCACAGTTCTATTGGGGGTTGTTTCACTTGGGCGAGGTTTACTTTGAGTCTGGCAGTTCTTTATGGGGTAGTCCGAAAGCTCGGCTTGCTATGCTGGCATAGACCGCA